AGCTGCTGCCCCCGTGACCCGGCCCCGGATAACCGGTAGAAGATGAATGGATGGATGGATGGATGGATGGATGGATGCACATCTGAAACAAAAGTTATTTTGCCTCATTCAAATCTTAATATCTGAACATTTAAATATGTAAACTAAAGTGCAATCACATTCGTAAATGAATGGCTTCTGGTTTTTGAAATGTAAATTACATCATAAATTCTCCTCAGCTGCCGGTTAACCTGGCCGATCTTCGACCCATTTTTCTCCAGATTGTCACTATGTTTCTCCATTTTCTGTTATCTCTTCTATTATTTTCTTCTCTTTTCCTTCTTACCGCTATTTTTTATTTTTCTCCTTCATGCTACCGGTATTTTTATTTTTATTCTTCGTGACAGGGGTTCACTTTGGCCTGGGGAGTCAAAGTTCAGCATTCGCTTCAATGATATCTGGCACCATCTAGCGTCGTGAATGGGTATAATGTCTAGACCCCGAATATAAGACGACGCCCACTTTTTCAGTCTTATTTCAATGCAAAAACACCGTCTTATATTCGGGCCAATACGGTAAATATTAAACATGTATAGCAGTAATCTTAAAAACCCATTTTGGACCCTCGGGACAGAGACACCCCGAACAGGCTACAGATCGAAGGATAATTTTATAGGCTAATCTGAAAGTCTGGCATTTGACGACCTTGGTCGAGAAAATCTGGACAAAAACAACCCTTTTATCTTTTAGGTGTTAGCCTTAATAAAATCGCGTGGAAACACAGACTGTCCAACAGCACCGACATATCCGCTGAACAAAACGGGGCAATGAAAAATGCTGCCCATTACAGGCGCCCTGGGGCTGTCGAGCGGCAACAGTCAAATAGCGCCGACCCCCCCGACCCTCTGCCCGTGGCCACAACGCTGAAAACAGTCCACAATGGGTCCATGCGAAGCACAACACACACCATATGACAAAAAAAGGAAAAAAAAAAAAAAGCAAAGCTCTTGAAGAGCACTTGCGGACGGCTACCAAGTACCAACTACAGCGCCATGTTCAAAGGGCAAATAAATAAATAAAACAAATGGATCATTTACAATACTCTTTGTGGGGTCCTAAAACAGAGAAGCAAAACTCTCTCAATGATGACACAAAGGCTGAATTAATTTGAGTGACTGCTGCGTGTCAGGTTAGGAAGAAACCAAGCACCACTCATTATTATCAAGATTGAGGGCGGAAATGAATGCAGCAATGAACAGAGACATCCTTGGTGAAAACCTGCTCACGAGGGCTCCTAACCTCAGACCTCACATATGCTTGAGTGGTCAGCCAGAGCCTATCGACTTCAATCCGATTAAACTTCTCTGGAGAGATCTGAAAATGGCTCTGCACTTACCTTCTCAACCTGATGGGGCTTGAGAAGTTGTTCAGAGAATTATGGGAGAAAATTGCCCAACGATAAGTGTGCCAAGCTTATGGCATCATATTCAAAAAGACTTGAGGCTGTAATTACTGCCAAAAGGTGCATCAACTAAGTATTGAGCAAAGGCTGTCGATACTTCCGTACATGAGATTTCTTTTGTTTATCTTTAATCATTTTAAAATAACAAAAAATCGATCTTGTGAATGTGGAAAATTAAATAATCCTTTTTTTTTTCATAAGGCTGCTATGTAACAATGACGGGAAAACAGCGCTGTGATAACTTTCTGCATACATTGTACATGCAGATAATAGCGTGTGAACGAAATGAGATTGTTATACCATATGGAAAGGTTGTCTCTGTTGCAAGTTTGTTAATTTAGCAGTGCACGTTGTGCACATGAATGGGTTGCGAACTCAAATTACATGCCCTGGGCAAGCAGAAGTAAACACTCACTTGAATCTCACAGGGCATAAACATCGTCCTCGACATTTAAAAGCCCGTCTATCACGATTCAGTTATCTTCCAACACGCTGTATGGTTTTCATTTTCCAGCCGATCCCAGCTATTACGTGAAATATGGAATGAAATTACAAGCGCTTAACTCCAAACCCATTTAAATACTGAAAAATCCATAGAATTGCTCATGCCAGCTCTGATGGCCCAGTTACTCTCCACTCAGCCTAAAATAAGAACACATTTTTTCATCTTAGAGGGGGTTGTAACAGGGGAATCACATGGGAGGGGGTCTTGTGTTATGAAACAAGACATGACTCGGGAACAAATGGGGAACTGGGATCAAAGTAGCAGCCAGAACTTCTATTAATACCCACAGAGCGGCTTGGCAAGAGCAGACTGTTATGCTCCAGCCGAAGTTACAGTGGGAAGTGGAAGCTTCCCACGAAAAGACGATCCCACGGTCCCACAGATAAGATTTTGAGGGTGAGAAACTTTGACAGTTGAAAGAAGGGATCACAGACAGCCCGACAGAATGCTCGGAAGAGCACCGAAAATCCCAACAAGTACTACACGGATCAAAACAACTTATGTATGCGTGCCGCAGCACAAATCAATCAGATATGGCTGTTTTTTTCTAACACATAACTTTGTATTCAATACAGAGTGATGGAATTAATAAATGTCTATAAACACTTTATCCTATTTGTGCCATTTGAAAGTCATTTCTTTTGTGTTCTCCTGTCTGGCCTCATGTTCTTGGTGGTACAGTGTCAAGTCCTAGTTTGTCATTCTAACAGCTGAGTGGGCGTGACTGTCAGATGCCAGCATTGGCATCATAGGATCCTTGAATCATATGGAATCATCTTTAATGAGAGATGTACCCCAGATATAAATCGGTCTGATGTTGCTGATGATTTGTGGTTTGTTTGTATGTAATTAACTTGGATAGTTTGGACTTTGGAGAACTTTTACATGTTGTTAATAAACATGCCAAACGCTACAACCATACCGTCTTTAATCGAATCATAATCACACTAAAATCAAACCAAAATGAATCATTACATCTTAAAATCATTTCATTAAACGTTTCATACACCATGTATTGAGAATCGCATCAAATCATCTTGTGTAGAGAGATGCACACCCCAAATCATTATAGTTACTTTGCAACTCTTTAATGACCATACAGCAGTAATGTCAATTGATAGAGAGCAGCTCTACCCCAGGGATGGACTTGCACCCAAAACAATAAAATAAAAATCAACCCTGTCATTCATTTTGACTTATACCAGGCAGCCTGCTGCACACAAACATGCACGCAAGCTCATGTGCATACTTACGTATGCATGCATGCAATCCCCACGGAAACCGAGAACTCATTGGTGTCATACTATCCACAGTCAGGGTTTCATGAAACCAAATGCACCCGCATACAGACTTTGTTCAACATACTCATAATACAAGTAGGATCAAGTCCATGTAAAAAGTGATATTTTGCTAAGCTTTATTTACAACATTATGCCATTTTATTTGCCGTTGCTTTGCTTTTAGTGTACACTTATCTCATGTAATTGCGAGCTCAAACCCAATCAAGGCCGCCGACGCTTGACATACTGCGATTCATGGCCCATTCATTCAAATCATATGAAAAAGCACAATGACACAAAAATCTCTTCATTCTTCACTATTCTAAACAATGCTTTTTACTTAGGTTCATTACTGCTTGAATTATGAACACATTGAGCAAGGTTCTGGATATATGTTCATTTTATTTCATTAAACCAAGACTGTTGATGGTTTGGGAAACAGTGACTTTTCAGCCATGTTGCTTGCTTGTTATGGTGTAAAAAAATAATGGATAATTGACATTGTGGGCAGAAATCCAAAGTTGGATATGTATAAAGATAGATATAGATATAGATATAGATATATAATCTGCATTTAGATGTGACTCCTGGTTGCCAAGTAGCTCTGCCACTGATGTTAATGCAGTTTGCAGTCTTAATTGTAATTTGATTAATGGGCTGCTTCGTCTAAATTGTGGGTCAGTCTGTTGGGATAAAGTGGCTGAAAGTAACACCATGGGCAGCACAGTGCACGACTGCTTAGCATGTCTGCCTCACAGCGCAAAGGTCCAGGGTTTGATTCATCCTGTGTGGAGTTTGCATGCACTCCCCGTGCCTGCGTGGGTTTTCTCCGGGTACTCCGGTTTCCTCACACATTCCAAAAACATGCATGCGGGATTCATTGAAGACGAAATTTACCAGTTTAGGGGGTACGCTGCTTCCTACCCCAAAACAGCTGGGATATGCTCCAGCACGCCCCTGACCCTCAGGAGCATAAAGCAGTTCGGATAATGGATAGATGGATAAAAAGCACTGCATCAGCCCCAAAACACACCAGCCTACCAGGCATCTGCACAGCCCAGTGGCCAGTCACACCCTGCCCAGTCAAACCGTTAATTGTACATTTACTCATCCTTTACTCCACTAGTTCCTGGTTTACTGTGGATCACAAACATGAGTAGTGCAATTACGATTCTTGGGTGGGTTCCATCCATGTTGTAGTGATAAATTGTATAAACAAATTACTTTGAGTTTGATACTCTTTTTTTTTGCCACTGCATGCATTGTATTACTTGGTACATAAGCTGTTTAAGTAAGGGAATTAAGAGTTTAACATTAATGTGCCTCTTCATGAACAATTCCAAAGGTCTTGCAACCAAAGTGAAACATCAAAAAAGTGCAATAACACTCAAAACAAGACTTATCCAAGACAGACGACAATGTAACTAATTTTCATTTTCAATTATGCTCTATTGCAATACGGATGTTCAACTTTGCGTTCACCAAAGCTGTTAATTCTGTGTGGCAAGAAGCCAGCTAATTAATTCAATTACAGTATATTTAATTAGGTTGAAAACTCACTCACAAAATATTCATCCTAAAACAGATCGAGCACAATTTGAGATGCTTCGTAATGACGTGAAAAATACATATAAGTTACCTTTTTAACAAGCATACGTAGTTCTTTGCGTGACTATTGTGCTTCAACTGTGGACTGGTGGTCTGAATTTTTTCCACGCGTCAAATCCATTACAATAAAAGAATTCTACAAATAAGGTGAAGAGAGTTCACTTACGTTTTGAATGGGCAAGTAATCAAACGGACTTTTTCTTCATGAATGCACATTGGCTCCAAGATGAGTGTCTCATGCTGCCCTGTGACAACACTGACCGACCTCAACCAGGACAGCACTCAAGCAAGGCACGGTGGCTGTTACATGACTTCCTGTTATGACTTTCACAGTAAATTATTGTCGATGTATGTACTGTACTGTACTGTACTGTATGTATGTAGTGTAGATGTAATCACTGCTTTACTTATGTCTAACCTTCGGTAATACGCCTTTGACCTCAAAACTAAACAGAATTTGACGACCATACCTCACTAACGATTGACTTAATAATAATCAATAGTGAGCATCATTTTTTAGTTGGTGCAATTAAATAACGAACATTTATGTGCGAGTCTCGCAACCAAGTCTTGTCAATTCACTTAAAAATGCCCGCTGTAGACTAGCTCACATACACTGATGTGCTATTTTGCAACATTACACAAGTTTCCCACTATGTACCATCACAGCAGTGCAAAGTATGACACTGCCACCTGCTGTTTGTTCGTAGTTGAAGGGCGACCAAAGCGTACAACTGTATTTAAATCAGAGCATGCTATTAGGATACTGTATGTTGAATTTTCTCCGAAGTTATATTTTGCTGCTATTGAGCGGAAGAAACAGCATAGCACTTAAAAAAAACGGGAGACTGAGGCACTCAAAGAATACATCAGTTTGAACATTAAATAGCCTATTTTGCCTTATTTGTATTTAATAGAATGCAGTTTTTAAATGATTTGTTAATAATTATTTATTTCAATTTAAGTAGAGGAGTTGAATCTTGCCATTGTCTTTTGCTCGTCAATGACTTCACAAATCCTCAGCCCTTTTTTTTTTTACAAATAAAATATTTAAGGTAATTCCTTGCCGTGAGAATTAGGAAATAAATATTGTAAATACCATCGTGTTATAAATGCAGGGACCAGGCAGATTGTTGGATGTAATTTATTCAGGGGAAAAAAACTCTTTAAATTTTCGGATTCTGACAGTTTAGGCCGCTCGCAACCACCGTCCAATCACGACGTTAATGCGCATGCTCCGCCTAAAGTGCCAGTCACGTGACATGAGTTTGGGAAGATGGTCGAAGTTTGTGCTTCCCTAAAGTGAACCCGCGACGAAAACAGCCTTTCGAACAAGGGCTGGGACTTTTCTACGGCACTGTCAGTTTCTTTCCCAAGTCTCTCCTGGAGTGCGGGTAAGAGAGCGAAACTAGTAGCTAACGAGTTGACGCGCGCAATATATACTTTCACAGGCGTGGACTTTGGGGTTTTGCCATGATGATGACACGGGCTAGCAGGCTAACGACTAGCTGGGCTGTGGTGGTGGTGGTGGTGGTGTTGGTAGGTGGAGGCTGAGGCTGAGCGACAGCTGACTCTAAACATGTTTTCAGCGCTCGGTTAGCATACCAGAGGAGTAAATATTCTCACGGGATGTTCGTCGGTGCACTTCCTCATCGCTCCGAGGAGTAGCGAACCGAGGGTTAATGCGGTGTTAGCTCCTTATACTAAGCAAGTTCGACTCGTTTTTAAGTCAAACTAAAGCTTGTTCTCGCAGCACAAAGATCTGACAAATACGAATTATAATCGCTGAGTTTTTGTTTGTGCCACGATTATTCGAATCTACTTGCGCGCCTTGTTAGCTTTCCTTTCGTTGAATTATATGTAGTCGAATGAACACACCGCACCCTCAACAGCAACCTTACATGTAGTTATTTCCAGGCGAATCATTAAAAATAAACAGATCCCTGACACGTTTTGGTCCTAAAAAAAATTTTCATTTAAATAATCAAAGACGGGCTAATAAAACAAACTGCCAGTGGAACGAGTTTATTGACAGAAACTCTTGAATGTTTAAATAGGATAGACTAATTTGTATAATAAAAAAAAAATTAAAAAAATAATTTGTATAATAAAAAAACTAATAACCAATGATTATGGCAGTAAAAGCTGTTTGTTTAACTTGGGAAGGTTATCTGATCAGGTTCGTTTCTGCTGTGCTCATAAAAAGTAGTACATTTTTTTCAGGTGTTTTATGTGGAGTACCTGGTGTTGATGGCCAGTGTGAATAAAATATGGATTTTTGCGACAGAAACCCCACTGTGAGTCTTTGTTAAATGACACGGTTTTATTTTGTGCGCTATTTTTGGTATGGTACGGGTTTGCATGAGGAAGCAAGAGGTCGGAACCAAATGCAAAGCAGGAGGAAAAAAAAGGCAGGAGTGCTGGGTGTACTGAACCAAAACTATTTATGAAAAAAAAGGAAGGAAAAAACACCACCAAAAGTCAAAGCATTAAACCAACAAAGTCCACTCAAAATGTAATATAGATTAAAAAGCACTCACCACTACAAGCATCAAGAAGACAAAGACACATGACATGTCACAGGACCAGTAACAGCAAACACAACGGTGTGATCAAGAGTGAAAGAAACTAGAGAACTGAGTATAAACAAACTGTCAAAGACAGTGATGAGCACCTGGACAAGACAGTGGTTGATGTGTCAAATTGAGCAATTCCAACAAATTATTGACTTATCACAGACTGAATCTGTCACAGAATTGAAAGTAAATCCAGGAGCTGTTCACTCATGCCATTTGGACAAGCTGCATCAAGCAGAAAAACAACACCAACAAGAATTAAAAAAAAAAAAAAAAAAAAGTCGGTCTTAAAAACAAAGTATGCAAAAGGTTTTTGGTTCTTAGATTTTTTTTTTTTGTGCCTTTCTGAAAAATGCATGTAATGATCCGAATCGGGTTAAGAGCCTTTTAATCTAGAATTAAATATTTATCAGCATTAAAAAAATAATTTTGGGAATTCAAAAAAAAAAATACGAACACTTTTTTTTTTTTTTTTTTTTAATACTTCTATATTCTCGTGCTCTACTTCATAAGAAGTGCCCAATTTTGTTCTCCGAAATTGCACTAATGGTTTGATTTGTTGTCTGGGCTGCAGGCTTCATCGTAGCTCTATGTCATGGCAAGTGAAGTAACCAAGGCAGGCAGTTCCAATGGTTACCCGATGAAGGCACAGCTACAAATTACTGGTAAGTCTTATTTGTGTACTCTTGTTAAGTCAATTCTCACTACAGCTCCAAAGCTCTCACCCTCCACAGTAAAAAAATTAGTCTTAAAAATGTCTGTTAACATGCCTGTATGAATTTGTGAGTGGGGCTACTGCCAATCCAGATTTTATGGAGTCCTAAATTTAAACCAATGAGCCCAACAATGTTTTTATGTATCACCGATTTCTTTGTGACAGAATTATCTTGTGTCTGACTATCTTCTGGTCTGGATAATGCTTTATGTCTCCTCATTTCAGTGTTATCAGCAAAACTAAAAGAGAACAAGAAGAACTGGTTTGGTCCCAGTCCTTATGTGGAAGTTACTGTTGATGGTCAGTCCAGGAAAACAGAAAAATGCAACAACACTCACAGTCCCAAATGGAAGCAGCCACTTACGGTGTAAGTTGAGGATGATTACACATTGATGTGTGTTTGGAGGAATACAACTGCAAGACTTTATTCTGTGGTGATGCCTGGAATTGCCGCATTATTATGAAACAAGTATATGACTGTATCTAATGGAGTGGGATCAGATTCCACATGTTAGCATGATTGGTTGGGAATAATCACCTCCATGCAACTTTGAGCTTTGAAAACAACCTCTTTTTTTTCTTTCTTTTTGTACAAAACGCAAGGGATTATGACAACGTGACCTGTTTGCTTGCTTATGTCAGCACCCTGAATAGGTTCTCAACACCATTGTTTGCTCTCAGAACCACACAATGGTTTTGCTGCTCACATAAGCAACAGCGGCCTGTGTGTCGCAGAGTAACAAGTGTTTTTTACTTGCAAAATACTCATTTGAAAGTCTGGCCTCAACAATGACATAACTTTTTGTTGAATTGTGACCTGCGAAAATGAGGTATAAGTAAGTGTCTAACTAAAATAGTAACTTTGGCAAAGTATTGACGATGACCAGATTTCTTTTGGTTGCTGAGTCTATGTTGGTTTTCGACAGGATTGTGACTCCCTTCAGCAAACTGGTGTTTCGAGTGTGGAGCCACCAAACCCTGAAGTCCGACATCCTGCTTGGCATGGCCAAGTTGGACATCAGTGCGACGCTCAAGTCTAACAACATGAAACGTGAGTGTCTACTGTTATTGGCTTTCACGGCACATCATGGTTGATGAAGTTAGTTTCAAATGATGGAAGGATTTCAGCTCGAATATCTGATAACTGGCGCCCAGAATGATGCGAGCGTATTTCCGTGTTCGCTTTCATCTAGTCTCTGACGTGCTGCAGACCATACAGCTGTGTACAGACCGAGACCAGACGGATGTGGTCGGAGACCTTTCCGTCTGCCTGGACGGCATGACAGTTGATCCCGAAATGTTCGCCAAGGCTGAAGTCGACCATCAGAGTGAGTTGGTGGTGTTGGTAGAAGAGCCCGAACAATTGCTCGAGAAACTGCAAAGGCTGTAAAGTTGCTGAAACTCTGAGAGGGGGAAAAAAACCCAAAAATGGGGTTTACAGTAAGTGGCTGGTTACAAGCTGTTACAATGTATAGAATGTGTGGAGAAGTGCAGTTAACGCTTTATTAAGGAAGGTAACATATCTGCATTCTCTCAACCTTATTTTCTTTGAAGCTTCACATTCGTGAATTTATTGCAACACAGTTTTGTTAGTCCTGTTGGGGTTATGTTTGTTTATTTTAAAGATATGGTTAAATGATCATGCACTGGCGAGATGGTTTATGTACATGACATCTTTTAACTCTAAGACACTGCACCCTCATATATTGCCCCAAAAAATATTTACATACAAAAATGGTAAAATCAGAAATCCTATTTTCTTTTGCATGTTGATAGTTCTGAAGTTAAAAAGTTTGAATCCAGGTTCCAGCCTTTCTTTGTGGAGTTTGCATGTTATTCCCCATGCTTGCACGAGTTTTCTCCAGAACAGAATATGTATGGATACTTTTCCATCTGCAATCTTCTTTGCAGGTAGAAAAAAGATAACACCACCTGCCATTTTTTGTAGCATTGTAACTGCAAATATGTGTCAAATGTCATCTTCACTGTCTGAGTCTTACGTGTATATAATACAGTTGTTGGTCTTCAGATCTATCAAATGGAGAATCTCGTCCTAATGGAGAACATACCCCAAGGTATGGAGTATGTTTCAATTTTATGTTGTGAGTTCCACACATCAAGTGTCAGTTTAATTTGGACTTAATGGATCCCTGCAACCCCCTGCACTCGTAGACACAGCCGAGACAGTTCCCCGGCTGTGGATGGCGTCGAGCACCGCTCATCTCCGCGTGGTCGAAGGTCGGGGACCGCCTCTGGTTCTCCGCTGGTGTCGACAGGGAGCGTGCGGCCTCTGCGGCCACCCAGACCCTCCAGACCACCTCCTCCAACCCCGCGCAGACCCAGCTCTTCACCAGGTCAGTCTTTTATCAAGTTCAATTTTTAGTGGCTTTTTCAATTCACTGTTCTGCAATTGTGTGCGTTTTACACGAGGAGGGTGCTACAACAGGCTGGGCGCGGCAATTGCTCCGTCAGAAATCTCTGTAGCCCTAGTTGAGCCCCGACAACATTTTATATGAAATTCAAAAATATCAAGCCCCCTTTTAGCCCCGGGAGAGAAAAAAAATCCTGGAGCTGTCCCTGGTTTCGCATGCATATTTATTTGTGTGACTGGCTCAGGGGGATACTGCGGAATGATGCTTGTCCATTTTTAGTGAATTATTTGTGTGCAAAACAGCGGTCACATTTTTATTTGGTCAGGTTCACATTTGCTATGCTTGAAATTTCCTTGAGTGCCCTACACATGAGTAGAAGCCCTGGGGTAAACATTGTGATTATCTACAAGCAGATGAGTTTTACGAATAATTTTTATATGCAATGTGGCCCTCATACTTTTCGTAAAAAAAATTAAACCTGAAAGAGTTGATGAAACCAGTTGTATCAATTTAGTCAACTATTATACAATGTGGCAACTATAATTTTGAAGTTATCACAAATGTTAAAACCAAGTAACATTGTCCGACTGTTTGTCTGCTTAGCATCCTCCAGCAATAGCTCTACGCTGGCCGAGAGCAGCAATGGTCAGTCGGGTTCAGGGACACCTGTGCGCACTACTGTCCAAGGGCCCTCAGCAGCCCCAGACTGCAGTCCTTCGACTGGCTCGGACAGGAACACTCCATCCGTTGCATCGACCTCTGGACCTCCGGCAACCAGACAGCCAATGAGCAGCGTCGGCCCTGCTGCCTCATCCAGAGTCCCTGCAGTCAACTCTGGACCTTTGCCACCAGGGTAAGATCGTTATTGTTGTTTTTGCACGGTTGTATTTTTAAATACAATGTTCATCGGATTATCTGAATGTGGAACATGCAAGTTGCCATCAGTATTAAAAAGTAAGCAAGGTCTTGTGCAAATTGATGGATCAGCAGGAAAACTGTAATGCTTGTTTTTCTCTTGGAGGATATGTTTATTTTAAATGTAATGATATGACCACAAGAAAACATTTAATATTTATTTTTTTTGTTTGTTATTTTTTTCTATATATATATATTTATATTCCCTAATTTAACAAGTGGAATCAATCACGGGGGGCGAACCTATAGGAGGGAGTGCGAAATCATTAACATGACTAGTGTTTTCACGCAGACAAATGGTACATAATTAATACCATAATTAGAGGTAATTCTGGCAAACATATTTCAGAAGTGAAGAAGCAAAGTTTCAGTTTGAATAGCTCGGTGTGACCCCTGATCTAATGTCTTGTTTCCCTTTGTTTCTTTCTAGGTGGGAGCAGAGGGTTGATCAGAACGGCAGGTTGTATTTTGTTGACCACGTAGAAAAGAGAACGACATGGGAGCGCCCAGATCCCTTACCACCAGGGTATAAACCCCCTCGTACAATTTTAACCCCATCTTTTTGAAACTTTCTGAATAAGGATGAAGTTCTGTTATGCAATTGTGTCGCATGAAAAGTGTTTTGCCCCTTGTTGACTTTTTGCCCTTAGCTGGGAACGTCGCGTAGACCAGATGGGCCGCGTTTATTTTGTCGACCACATAACGCGGACTACCACGTGGCAGCGTCCCACAGTAGAGACTGTGCGCAACTATGAACAGTGGCAGCACCAGCGCAGCCAGTTGCAGGGTGCCATGCAACAGTTCAACCAGAGGTTTATAATTGGGGTGAGATGTGATACTGTTAAAAAAAAATGATATGGCTTCAAAATTATGTCTTAAACAAATCGACCCAGCTTTTTTAATGACTACAGTATTCTTATGTTGGCACAGGACCAGGCAGCAGCCTCACAAAATAAGGAGTATGACCCTCTTGGGCCTTTGCCGAATGGATGGGGTAAGATATATGTCCTCCTTTGTTAGCTAATAAGCATGCAGTAATGGTAGCGTTATTCACATTATAATGAGAGTACTACTAGAGTCGAATATGAGCTTTGATTTACATGTTGCGGCTTCCTCTTGGAACAGCTACCAGCTCAGCCTAAGAGTATCCTGTGTTCAGGGTTGGTTCAGTAAAGATGAACTCTGTATTTGTAGCTCTGTCGTGTTATTTTTCTGGATCATCACTGAACCAAACATGTTCAAGTAAATGGAAAAATCCAGATACATTGGTCATATTGGTTTTTCGGGTGCAATTTCAGACTGAGCGTGAATTGTGCGATCATTTTCACAGGTGAATGTAATTTGAACTTCTCTCAAAACTTTGAATGCGCGTGTCCATTAGTACAACAACTTGGTGGTCTTTAAAAAGGCGCTGAATGGGAAAATGTGCACGTTTTTAACAGTTGGTTTGTGCTTTCAAATGTCTTGCGAAGTTCACCTGGAAAGGTTAATGATCCTGAAACTTCACCGCAAAGCCAAATATCTAACTTTTTGTGATAGTGTATAAAGCATCATCTCTGTGGCTTGTCAACATCTGCTTATGCGTTGTGTGCTTTTTAAAATTTTACAAGCTTTTTGTGACCGCTCCGTCATATATAAACAGGTCTAATTCAGTTGATATGGAGTATTATAGTTCTGTCGCAGTCGACTCAAGTTGTACCCATGTGTTTTTTGACTGGGCATGCCAGGCCAACTCAGGCCATACGTCTGTACAGCCTTTGTCAAAACTCTCCAAACAAATGGAAATTTGAATAATGAGGAGTGAATAACTCATGGTAAATGAAGACTCATCCAATAAAACGACCCTGACTACAAGAAAAACTTTGAATAAGAAGTTCAAGAGAATTCACAAATGCCACATTGCATGCATGGTAAATTTTTGAGCGCACAAATATCAGTCTCTAGAGCGCGCAGTGGTGCACAGAGCAGTAGAAACATTATTAGAACAGTTTAAATGTACACTGTACAAATCTTACAGTGAAACTGTCGTTCTTTTTGTTGACCTGTAATTTAGTCATTTCATTTGTGTTTTTTGATTCAGAGAAAAGAACAGACAGCAATGGAAGAGTGTATTTTGTGCACCATCCAACGCGGTCAACGCAGTGGGAAGACCCACGGTCACAAGGGTATATAACTGTTTTTTTTTTTTTTTTATTTCAGCGCGAATATTTTTGCTGCTATTCCGAATAATCTACCGTATTTTCCGCACTATACGGCGTACCTAAGAGCATTCCATTTTCTCAAAAGCCAACAGTGCGCCTTATAATCTGATGCGATTTATATATGGACCAATATTCTGATTTCTGGGGCGTAGTATTTTAAATGTTCTGTAAAGAGCTTTGTTATAGCTGCAGCGGTTGCAAAAGCTCTTTTTAAATCAACCTATATTGTTTTGTTGTGTATTCCGTTAGTGTAGCTCCATCTAGTGGATGTATAATGCAACCACAGCCACTTTTGTAGCTTCTAATCTATGCGCCTTATAATGCGATGCACCCTATACTGTATATGAAAACAGCTGAAAAATAGGCCATTCATTGAAAATGCGCCTTTTACTCCGAAGCACCTTATAGGGTGGAAATTAAGTTTTTTGTTGTTGTTGGTGTTTTTTTTTTTTTTTTATTGCAACAGTGCCAGTGGAAATACTCACTGGCTTTACTTTATCTTATTTTTTTTAGGTTGTTGAATGAGAAGCCGCTTCCCGAAGGATGGGAGATGAGATTTACTGTTGATGGTACTCCCTACTTTGTAGACCACAACAGGAGAACTACCACCTACATTGACCCTCGCACTGGAAAATCCTCACTGTACGTTCTCTGGCACATACAAAACTCAAATACAGTGCCTGTTATTGTGAGTTAATTCGCAACATGGAAGGGAACAATTTCCCTCGAGCAAACTCAATGTAGCAAAAAAAATATATATAGTGCGTATTTACTTCGAGCATTTTTCTTGTAGTGTATCTCACTGTACTTCTGTCTTTATAGAGCTCTTTATCGTATTATAAGTAAAGGAAACGTGTTTTTTGTTATTCTTGACATTCACTCAGAGGAAACTCCTCAGATGACTCATGGTCATAACTGCAGTACTGGGTACACTGTCACCAGTCATCGACAGTCTTCTAGCTCCAGTTGAAAAACAGGATTAGTGAACTGGCATGTGGATGTGACAATGTAATCAGTGTGATATATAGAGAAGCATAAACGACACCTATTTACATCCCTTGCACATATATTACATTGTACTTATCTTGTTTTCAGTGAAAATGGACCTCAGATCACCTACGTCAGAGACTTCAAAGCCAAAGTACAATATTTCAGATTTTGGTGCCAGGTAAGAATCAGAACAGCACAAACATTATTCGATTACCTGTTGAATCTTTTGTACAGATTGTGTTTCACACCTCATCCAAAAATTTGAGCCATTCTTGTGCCCAAAATGGCAGAGAAGCTTTTATGTTGTCAAAGGGATTCCTGTTTGACAGAAGCTTGAAATAAAAAGTAGAATAACACTCAATAAATAGCTGTATGTAAAAATAAATGTTATTCCACCGACAATTTCTCAACATTTAATGCTGGCACAAAAAACTGGAAGCCCACCAAAATGGTCCTTGGTCCAAGCATCACACCCAAAGGTTGCATTGAATTATGGTGACTTTTCGGCTTGTCGCATCAGGTATCACCACGTTGAGTAATTTGCATCATTTGAAACAGTTTTTCACACAAACAAGATAATTCCATACAACCGTTCTTGGCTAGGAAATGGGTGGCAAAATTACATTTTTAGTTTGATTTCCTCGTCCTCAATGTAGTTTATAATTAATGGAAAAAAAACAGGAGAAATGGTCCAATCAAAATCTAATCACCATGTTTTGATATACCTCCCTTCCTGTTTAGCAATTGGCAATGCCTCAACACATCAAGATTAATGTGTCACGTAAAACTCTGTTTGAGGACTCCTTCCAGCAGGTAAGCAGACCTGCAGCCATTTAATGGCCAAGAAGCTGCTTGGTTCTGTTGTTTGTTGTAAAAAGTAACAGTCATGTAAATATACGATAATTGTACGTTTGTCAGTGTAATTCTTTGCCCGTGTATGGTATATGTACTGTATGAAATTGGGGTCATAAGAGCTGTACAAGTCTGTCGCGGTTCCAGTGTTGCAGCTGTGGCTGCTGGGAGCCTACTCGAGTAAATGTAGCCTAAGCCTTGGTAGAACCAGGAAGCAGCAGCCCCATCCCAGCCCTGCCTCTACGGAGGGAATTCATGAATGAAATCTTTGTTTATCTGACCCTATTTTGTCATGACACGAACATTCATCATGTCTAAATCAAGTACAAGCACAACAGATCAATGCTGTTGTTGTGACTCCAGCAATTGCACTACCAATGCATGAGTTGAACGTTTTAGATCATGAGCTTCAACGCTCAGGATTTGCGAAGAAGGCTGTGGATTATCTTCCCTGGAGAAGAAGGTCTCGACTACGGAGGTGTTGCCAGGCAAGTACAAAACGGAAACGAGTGGCCACGCTTGTTTTCACTGCATTCAAACACTGTGAGTAAATTGGGACATATTCAGAAAAGGTACGCAGCTGCTTTTGCTGTCTCTGAAATTCAGTCCAAACAAATTTTAACTCTGCGTGTAGTATTATTGTTGCCTAATGTAAATGAGCGCATGTGTTTGATGTTGTCTACACGGTGGAAGTTGCCAGCATTTTTGGTTCTTTAAATGTATTTTGACGTCATCTTTTTTCGTTTGCCCCCCCCTCCTCTCTTCCAGGGAATGGTTCTTCCTCTTGTCCCATGAAGTGTTAAACCCCATGTACTGTCTTTTTGAATATGCTGGAAAAGAAAACTACTGTCTTCAGATCAACCCCGCCTCCTACATAAATCCCGACCACCTTAAGTATTTCAAGTTCATCGGCCGCTTCATTGCCATGGTTAGTCATTGTCTCGCATCAGCCAGTAGGCCGAGTAAAGATGACAGCGAAATTCCAATCGAACTCCACTTCTATCATTTTTAGGCGCTTTTCCACAGCAAGTTCATCGACACGGGTTTCTCATTGCCATTTTACAAGCGCATCTTGAACAAGCCTTTGGCCCTCAAAGACCTAGAGTCAGTCGACCCAGAGTTCTACAACTCCCTCATTTGGATCAAGTAAGTTCTGAGCACTCTTTGTTTCAAGTTGTTTCTTCATATTTATATGTACAGTAGTGAGGATAAAGCGGTTCGGAAAATGGATGGAAAGTCTGCTAGATTTACAGCCCCACCATATTGTTAAATTATTAAAATAATTGATAGTTGCGGACCCACTGTAATGCTCTTGCATGTGGGAAAGGAGAGCCACAGTCTTTGAGTATGAAGAACAGTGACACACAATGAGCACACTCGCGCAGGGGTTGCTGTTGCTGACAACTCACACCCAGGCGCTCACAGACTCGCTGACTTCACACACCACCCTATCAGGCCCCGCTTCTGAAAATACATTTCTTGCAGGAGTTTTGGCCCGCCTTGAACTTTTTGACCTGTTTTGCCACATTTCAGGTTTCATATATCATGATATAAAATTCGATTTAAAAATTTTAATATTTTGAGCTGGAAGAAGTAGCCAGGGAGAGGGAAGTCTGGGCTTCCCTGCTAAAGCTGCTGCCCCCGCGACCCGGCCCCGGATAAGTGGTAGAAGATGGATGGATGGATTTATTTATTGATTTATTTTGTGGGGAGGGGGAGGAGATGAAGAATCCACACCAAGTGGGACACAATCGTAAGGTGGAACGAAATGTTATCAAGTACTACAAATTTCTCTGTCGTGATTGTCCTTTCTGCCCTGTAGGGACAACAACATCGAAGAGTGTGGCCTGGAAATGTTCTTTTGTGTTGACAAGGAGATCTTAGGTGAAATCACCACGCACGACCTGAAACCTGGCGGAGGAGAGATCCAAGTTACGGAGGAGAACAAGGAGGAGTACATCAGGTGGGCGCTGATGGATTGTGATTCTGAAGTCTGCCTTCTGATGTTGAACCAGGGCTATAACAGAGGCGGGACGGTGCTTGTTTAAAAGGAAATTCGGGACAGGGGTGTTCGGTTTCACCTTTGAAACTGTTGTTTCTGTCTGGATGAGATATATTATGCATTGGAAACAGTTCCCAGGTGACCTAAAAGGTCTGTGACATTGTTCAGTCAAAATGAATCGTGAACCACCAGAATAGGAAACGAAACAGAAACATTGGGAACGCCCTGATTCAAGTCCCTCTGTTTTTTTTGTGTGGTGTGCAGGTTGGTAGCAGAGTGGAGGCTGTCGAGAGGAGTGGAAGAGCAGACCCAGGCATTTTTTGAAGGCTTCAATGAGGTCCTCCCGCAGCAATACCTGCAGTATTTTGATGCCAAAGAGCTGGAAGTATGCATACAGAAACTGCACTATTTACAGAATACAATGCCATTAGAATTGTAAAAACAAATGAACTGTTGGGAAATCTAAATTAAAACAAACAAAGCTCCAACTCCTGACAATATAATAAGATAGGTTTTCACTCAGTGTATGACTCCCCCCCTCCCCCCCAAATCCCATAGAGCTTCTCAAGAAAAAGGTTCTCCACTCTTGAGTCTACGATAAGCATTTTACCATCCAACCTTTGTCCGTGCAGGTGATGCTTTGTGGCATGCAGGAGATTGACCTTGCAGACTGGCAAAGAAATACCATATACAGGCACTACGCTCGCGGCAGCAAGCAGATCATGTGGTTCTGGCAGGTCAGCATCAAAACGATACAGAGGTTCTGAACAGGGGCTCTTTTCTGCTATGGATGAGTGCACCTTGTGTATTGGATATGCTAGCAATGTGCAGCTCTCGTACCGGATCACATTAAACGGTACAAAGGTACCTCAGGGTTTGACAGGTAAAATAATTACTTTGTTTTCCCCGCAGTTCATAAAAGAGATGGACAATGAGAAGAGAATGCGGCTGCTACAGTTTGTCACTGGTACCTGTCGTCTGCCTGTCGGAGGCTTTGCTGACCTCATGGGTAATTTTTATGTGCATTTTTGAAGTTGGGCAGAGAGGCTTCATGAGACAGGTCCGACTTTTTGAGGGAGAGATAAGGAAAATAGCTTTATCATGTTAAATGACATTGGGAAGGCTTCATTTGAATGCGAAGAGCTAATTTGCATCTCAAATAGCCAGACACAGATGAATTTTTGAATGCGATAAAATACCTCATTCTGCTTCATTTTACAGGAAGCAACGGTCCACAGAAGTTCTGTATTGAAAAGGTGGGAAAGGAAAACTGGCTTCCCAGAAGTCACACATGGTGAGTTCACTGAGTCAAGACGCTGAAGTTGTTTCAGGAGAGAAGATACTGAAGGGCAAGAGAAGAAAATCTGACTTGATAGCATATAAAAAAATTTAATTACAGTGAACAATGTCAAATTTGCAGTTTGACACTTCAGAATGTGCCTATTTGCGGATAGTTTGGTGAGCTTCTTTTTGTGGCATTTTGGTGTCAAGGAACTACCGGTATGTTGAAGAGCTTAATTTAGACAAATGTAGCACTTTGCCACCAACTTGTGGCAGTTAACGTTTTGGGGAGGTCGGTCACTCCCGGGGGATTCTTAAGTTGAGACAGGGCTCGGTCCTGCATGTTTTCGGGTGAATGCTGTTTTGTGTAAAAGGGAAAATATTTATTGTGTTTACATGGGAACATTTTATGCCATCACTCTGAGACGATGCATGTTTTTTTTAAACACCTGAATAGATTTTAAAAATGCAAGTCAATGTTGAAACAGTCTCTGTTTTAACCATGGTGGTGGTGCAGAACGACACAGACACAAGGCACGTGATGATTTGTTTTTTCCTCTCTCTGCTGTACTTTGCACAGTTTCAACAGATTGGATTTGCCACCTTACAAGAGCTACGAGCAGCTGAAGGAAAAGCTGATGTTTGCCATTGAGGAGACAGAAGGCTTTGGACAGGAGTGACATTTTGAACTGGCTGTTGCGCTGAAGCGCCAGCTACTGGGATTGAGAGCACGGGGTTGAAACGGTGAAACCTTCCGTTCATTTTGTTTGCGGGGGCCCAGGCCCGGTGCTTGCGTATTTATTGCATTCACCTCCAAAGGAAAGCTTTTAATCGGTAGTCTATTGAAACCAAAATCATAGAAAACTGATTCTGGGCTCCAGAATGAGCATCATGCAACCCCATCTTCTGACCATTTTAAGGTCAGCGGCAACCGGGAGACAGCGTTGGAGTCTTGTCTAGTCGCTTATTAGTCAAACTAGTCACTGCTATGGCAAGTTTTCTGGGTTACCAAAATTAAGCAGATTGTATTGTTGGCTCTTTATCAACATCCACTAGAATGATTGTCGCTTTTCTCACTTGCATTTCCCCCGCTAACAAGACTTTTTTTTTTTTTAATTAGCTTTGGTTCATGCCTTTAAGGAGAGAGAAAAAATAAAACAATAACAAAATGATGCTGCATATTAAAGCAAACTATGGTGCTTACCGCACTCACTTGGGAGACAAGCTGTGAGACGCAGCCCTGAACGGCACCATGATTGTGACCATAGTCGTATTTTTAATGTTCAAGGATTACTGCAATGGCAGCGTTTGAAAAAGAATCCTAGTTTTATAGGACCACGGGTTAGACAGGCATTGTATGACTAGGGAAAAAGGTTTGTCATGATTTCTGGTGTTTTTAGTGATATACATGACCCCAAATGGCGCGTCCTTTAGGGAATGACATGTATTCGGAGATGGAGAAACACCAAAATGAAAGTCGAGCCAAATTGAGTTCTTTTGTTCTATTTTGCTCACACAGGCTATATAAATGGGTAAAAAAATAACTTGAGTTTTTAAAACCCCTTCAGATACATGATTCAAAAGATCTAATTAATTAGTTAACAGTGTTATGTTTTCCACTTTATTTTTTATAAACTTTACAGCAGCAATTACTGGTACAAGAAACTAGTGTGAAATAATAGGCAGTGTCTATGTCTTCATTTTTGAAGATGTGCTCTTCATTAGACACCAAATAAGTGTTGTTTGTGGCTCGACATAAATAAAAAAATAATAATTCTAACAGTGTTTTTGAAAATGTGTACACAGAGTGGGAAATAGAATAGGAATAAAAGTCATCCTGTGCTGTCACCTAGTTCGGGGTCAGTTATTTAATTTGTGACAATATCAAGAGTTAGCAAATAGATACAGTGAATACAGTCTACATACCCAGAGTCAAATGCCATGTTTTTTTTTTTAACTAAACAAACTAATATGGTTTGCCTTCTACTAATTGGGGACGTGGCTGTGTTCCCAAAGAACCACTCAAGAGTGTATGTTAAATGGAACTCGGCATAGACCCTTTTTTTTTTCCCCTCTCCAAATTGAGTTGTACAGGTTTGAGGTCACATTGATCCAGGTCTCCAGACTGCCCCTAAATGGTGGCATTTTTGTCCCTAAAATTTGAGACAGTGCAACTACAGTTAACATCTACTCTTGCCAGGGCAACCAGTAAATTTGCCTCCCCGCCCCCGTAATTACTTTTCTAGATGTTTGTTCTTGTTGCTGGCAAACTTTGTCTCCACACTCCGCAGCTCATTTATCAGTAATAAAATAAAAATTGAGTCGGGTGAATAGTTACCTTGCAAGTCAATGTACAGTATGTGCCCGGAAATATTCTACTTGCAGCCCTAAAAGGTTCGTTGGGGGACACTGTGCTCCCCGTGGAAAAAAAAAAAAAAGTCTGGAGCCCTGCATTAATGGTGGAAAAGGTGTTGACTTTGGCATTTGAAAAAGGGTGTGTAGACTTTACACTGTAAATAATTAGAAATCTTAATACATCCCTCTGCGTATTTTGCCAGCAGGCGTTAGGATTCCTGCATGTCAAACTTAATCTGCTGTAAATAAATGTTTTTTTTCTTTCATAATTGAAAAAAATAAGAGGTTTATAGTATCACTATATTTTTCCTTCCCATTTCTAATTTCTGATGTTTATGAAACGTGGGGTGGGGGAGAATTAAATGGTCACCTTAATTAAATTAAAAAAATTAAATCAAAGCTGTGTGTTTAGTCTCGTGTGTAGTATATCTACTTCAGTCACAATATATGTTAATGTAACCACCGCGGAAGATGTCCGTGATTGGTTTGTTTTTTTCCCAATGTTACTACTTTTTACCTTTAACTTAATCTGACAAATATATTCATGCATTTTTCCTCTAACAACCATTTACACACACAATGTGTGTGTTTGTGTGTCAGCCTGGCCACAAGAAGGCATCTTTTGGTCAGATTCTAAACCATGAAAAGGAGCTGGGGCTGCAGGGATGAGAATTAGTGCACCTCCACCCCCCCACCCCCCCAAAAAAAATTTCCATCAGTTTGGGGGTTCTTTTGTTTTCTCTTCAAATCTTAGACTTTTGTGTCAGATTCAGTTTGTACTAAAGCCAGTCATTGATCCCTTCGTTATTATATAATGAAGGGATTATAAGCGTGCTTAGGTTTTTGACTAGGAAATGAAATCTAATTTATTATAGTAATAATGACTCAATAGGAAAAAGACGATGTATGTTGTGTTGCACACAGCACAGGGAACTAGTTCACGTGTGTGTGTTTTGTTCTGTGCATGGTGTGCAACTCAAACCTATAAAAATAAATGGGAGTTCCTGCCCTACCCATGTAGAAGAAACAAAGTGAGTCAAGCGGATTAAAGACTAATGCTCACATTATTGTTTATAAGCATGTATAGTTTCATTTTTAATGTTTTAATATAAAACAAAATATTCATTGGACATCCAGTAAACATTTCCTGATTGATTCTTAAAATCCCCAAACATAGGGTAGGAGGAAACAGGTTCAGGAGTGGCTCTAGATATCTACTGTGATGCATCTCCTTCAATCCCCTCAACTTCGATGGCAGCCATGGCCACCGTAGCTTGACCGCCGTCATCTGTTGAGTCCCGCTCTCCATCATCCGCGTCTGTTCCCGCCTCCTCCTGGTTGTCTTCTTCCCGAACCTCATGTCTGGCAGTCCTTAATCTCCCCGCCTGCCTCGTAAAACGAGCGCAGCTCCTTCTCCCGGCTCGCTCGTCCCCTCTGTCTCGCCCCACGTATTCCTCTGCGGTTTCGCCTTCTTGTCTCTTGTCGGTCCCCGCCCCTGAACATTTGTGGTCTCTATAGTAACTCTGTCTGGAGAAGCCTTTGTTGCAAGCGGAGCACCGGAAGCGATAATTGTCCGTGTGGGACTGCTGGTGCTCCAGCATGTGAGCCCTGCGACTGAACGCCTTCTGACAGAAGAGACACTTGAAGGGCTTGATGCCTACAGGTAAAAAAATATTGGCGGAGACATCATTGTGATGACAAATTGACAATTATCTCAATGGGGAAAATGTTGCCACTCGATGATATTGTGGAGCAAAAAAAAAAAGTGCCATTATTTTATAGTTTGGACTTAAAAAGTGTCTTTGGTTCTTTGTTTTCTTTCCAATATGTGTTTCATGTTATGTGTTTCATGTTTAACAGAGTAAGAGTCCATATGGTAGTATGGGCATAGAGTAGAGCCAAATTCATGGAGTGGACAAAGATTACTGACCTGAATGTGACAGAATGTGTGCCTTTAGCTTGTCCGGTCTGTTGAATTCTTTCGTGCAACCTACATGAGTCCTATTTGAAAGAAAAGCAAAATGAAGGCAGTAAGTTCTATCTACTCTATTAAAACGGATAGATGTTAACGATTTTGCCCTTACCTGAAAGGACACTTGTATTTTTTAAAGGGTTCATGAATGAGCATGTGGCGCTTGACTTTGTCCTTCCTGTTGAAAGTGGCTTCACACACGGAACATTTGTACGGCTTCTCACCTGGAAAAATGGAGAATCGTTTCATTTTTCACATTTAGCTTTGTCTTAATAAATGACCATTGAGCCACTTTAGCCAACATTTAGCGCCCCCTAGTTATAAATTCTCTCCAACATGTGACTACACAAACATGATCGCGATCTATCTGCGTCGTCTTACACACCCGAGTGAATCCTTGTGTGTAGTTTGAGGTAGTGTTCTGTCTTGAAGACTTTCTTGCAGATGTGACACTTAAACCTCCCTCCAACACCATGAGTGGGTAGATGGCGTCTGAAGTACCTCTCGCATGGGAACACCTGAGGAGCGCAAGTGCACACGAGGTCAACAAGCTTTCAGTCCACTTCCCCGCTAACTTTTTCTTTATCCACCCCTATAGCGAGCAGCATTTTCCTTCTCAACAAATATCCGATTTTTCTTTCGCGCTATGGTGTTCATGTTGTCTTCTTTTGAAGAACAGGGACCAGGGGCATACATATACACAGAATGGCATCTTTCAACGGCGGGGGTGGGCTGGAGAGTAGACTTAATCAGGTCGGGAAAACTTTTATTTTGAAGGTTTTCCTACCCAAACAGGTGTTTTTTTTTGTTTTTTTGTTTTTTTTTAAAGACACATCACATAAGGAAGCGATGACAGCTCTGATCAAGGCTGAAGTGACAGCCGGAACTGTCAGCAAGGTAAGAGAATTCTCTCCTTACTAAAAAAAAAAAAAAAACGTGGTAGTTTGTTGTGCTAACGATGTTATAAGCAAAGTGAATTACAGCTGTCCAGTGGACTGTCATGACAACAGCGATATTGAAATATTAAACTTGTAGTTTCAAAAAAATAATAATAATAACTGAGTGAGTGCATTAAGTGTAGATGTTTGAATGTGTGTGTGGGAGGTACCTTTTGACAGTGTGGGCATGGGAAGTTGTGTGAGGCTGTCAGTAGGTGTTGCTCCAGAGCTTCTTGGGTAGAATATTTGCTTTGACATTTCACACACCTGTAGACAAGAGCAGAAAACAAAAACCATCAGAAAGGTTGACCTCTGCCGAGGCTTGAACTATTTGTCACCTGTGACTGATTCTATGAGTCACGCTAAGATCTTAATTGCCCGCCAATCATAAAATGCAATTCTGGGCTTATATATTAAATATTGTAGTTGGACAAATCCACATTTATTAACACAAAACCCCGCTTTTTAAGGACATTAGTGTTATTTTATGTTGTAATATAAGGCAGAATGAACCAGAAACAGACAGATGGCCCATTGATGGGCACACAGATCGGCTGCAGGCACAGTGGCACGTCTACCGGCACAATTACTCATCGGCAGGCACAATGACCTTCCTACAGGTACACTCACCTGTAGAATGTGGTTTCCTTGCGTGTGTTCTGCTGCGGGCAGAAACAGTGGGAGTACTGGTGGACTCCCAGTTCAAACAGAGAGGGGAACACCTTGCTGCAGAGGTGACAGCGGTAGGTCAGCTGCTCCTGGTGAGTCCTGATGTGCTCCAGGAACTGATCCAGTTTCTGGAAGGTCTGGGAGCAGGACTTGAGCACACACTTGTAAACCTGACAGTGGAAGCGCCACTACTTATTGATACGGACATGGAAAGAAACATTTCAGATCAGTAGCTATGACTGTTCGGATCGATCACAACTCACAGGGCATGATTACAGAGCGTACGAACGACTGTGAATGGTGAAATACTGTTAAGTAATTGAAGACCCTTTTAAGAATGTATAGAATTGTCTGTTAAACAGCCAACATAGCACCAAGTGTAAATTTGTTCAGATCCAACTGTGAACAGGCCAGGGATTCACTTATTTTCTTGAAATTCCCATAGCCGGGTCCTTTAGCTCACCTGCTCCCCCTTGTGTTGGGTCATGTGGGATTTGAGCTGGAAGTATGTCTTGAACTTGCTCGAGCAGAACTGGCACTGGTAGGAGCTGTCGACCACCACAATCTGTTTCGTCTGAGCTGGACTCTCTTGGTTCGGAGGCTGAGAGGTCAGAGACTCGCCGCAAGTGCTCTCCACATCAGCCTGGGCCTCTGATACGCTTTCCTCAGCTTCCCCTGATGTTTCTGTGGCCAAAGCTGTCATTTATGGGCGTTACTGAAGACCAGTGGTGGGAAGTATTTGTTTTTTTTTTTCTTCTCTCTCTCTCTCCAGATATCGGCACTTGAGTATTTAACAGATGAAATTTGTAGTATTTACAGTAGTGCAGGTACTTTTTGCAACCTCAACTGACTATAGCAGATGACATTCTAGTTGACGTGACACAAAATATAAGTGAATATCTTATTTAAACCGCTTGTAATGTACCCATTGGGGCTGTGTCGTCTTCCTGCATTGCCTGGTGCTGGGGGTCCGCCTCCTCCTGGTCACACTGCTGCTGATGCTGCTGATCCCCGCCGGCCGCCTCCGCATTGGCTGACACCGGCACGACCTTTACAGTGACTGGCAGCCTTGACACCGTGCTGGCCACGCCCATGGGCCACACCTTAACGACAAGAGACGGCTGGTATTTTGACGTAGCTGGTGTTGGATTGCTGTACTTTCTTCCTTCATAGGAACGAATGCCAGCAATTTGGAGCTTGCAGTATGATGCAGTGCAGTTGTACACCATAGCGCAAAAAAAAAAAAAAAAAAGAAATCATGAATTGGACAACCCAAAAGGCAAGGTATCGATGTAAA